CCCGGCCGCCCAGCCGAGGCAGCGCGATTTCCTGTTGTGTCGCCGCTGACCTTCGAGCAAAATCGCAGCGGGGGCCCCGGGCCCGGGGGACGGCTTCCTGCCTCCGGCCGCTTCCTCCCTTGGCTCAGGGCGCGGGAAGGGCGTCCCCGGGTGCCCTCCGGGGATTGCTCACCTGCCCCCTGGCCTGAGCGCTCGGCTGCTGGGACCTCGGTGGGCAGCGCCTCGGCTCGGGACCGGGGGGTGAAGGTGGCCCTGGAATCTGCAGAAGAGGTGGCATCAGTGACCCTGCGCTGGGTGGCCCCGGGAGCATCAGCCCTGATGGGGTCCTGCTCCTGGCTGTGGCAGCCAGGCATGAAGGCCACCAAAAACACTCACCCAGAGGCGGGCTCCAACACTGGTGACCCTCATCCAGAGGTGGACCTCATCCCTGGTCACCTTCACCCAGAGGTGGAACCCCAGCACAGTTACCCTCTCCCAGAGGTGGACCACAACCCTGGTGACCCTTGCCCAGAGGTGGACCCCATCCCTGGTGATCCTCACGCCCAGAGGTACCACAACCCTGGTGACCCCTGCCCAGAGGTGGACCCCATCCCTGGTGATCCTCACCCAGAGGTGGACCCCAACCCCAGTGACCCTCGTCCAGAGGTGGGCTCTGACCCCTGCATCCATCACCCAGAGGTGACTCGGAGTTGGAGATCCCCAGTGGGGCTGCAGTGCACGGGAACCCCTCTGAGCTGGGGAGGGTGATGGAGCACGGGGGCCTGGCTGGCATGCGGCCCCCTGGGCTGTTTCACCAGGGGGATTGGTTGGGGGGGCACGTGAAGCACCCATGGACACCCCCTCCCTGGGTGGGAGAAGCACTGGGGGTCTGCTCAGTGCCAGACCCTGGCACAGCCATGACCCAGCCCCCTCTGGGGCACTCTGGCCCGCGGGGTGGGGGGCAGGTGTGCACACACCCATACCCATGTATACATGCGTGTGTTTGTATGGCAGACATGTACACACCCCCCACGTGCTCCCTTAGACCTACGTGTGCACATGCGCGCTTCCCACGGCATGTGTCGGGGTGGACGCTCAGATAACCCCCGGGGCAGGGTAGCCCCCCACACGCTTCCCTTTGGGGGGGACTCCCCCCCAACCCACATCCTCTTGTCCCCAGTCTCCCCACAGCCCGCGTGTTTCCTTCTCACACCCCTGCTCTCGCACGCTCCCACCCCTGTTCCTGCGGCCGGCGGTTCCCGGCAGCGCCTGGCTGGGTGACAACAGGCAGAGTAAACACCTCAGCCCTGCTCTGCCTGCCTCGCGCCCTGTTCAGCCCCCAGCAGCCCACCTTGCGGGTCACGGGGTGCCCGGACAGGGGGTCCGGTGGGTTCCGTGGCTCCGGCGACAAGGCTGGCAGCCCACTCGCCTGTGGCACGACTGGTGGCGGCGGGAACTGGTGGCGGGGAGCCGCGAGCACTGGGGTCAAACACCTCCAGGCTTCCCCCGCACGGCCGTGCCCCGTCTCTGCGGACGTGACAAGTTGCAAACGCGCCCCGCTGGCACCCTCAGCCCCTCAGCCAGCGCTGGCCCCGCTCCTGCCGCCGGCGCTGCGCCAGTACCTGCTGTGCCCGGGTCCCCCGTCCCTCCCTGGGTGCAAAACCCTTCACAATGCCAGGCTGGAGAGCTGCGGTGCCCCACGCTCCCCGCACGGCCGTGCCCCGTCTCTGCGGACGTGACAAGTTGCAAACGCGCCCCGCTGGCACCCTCAGCCCCTCAGCCAGCGCTGGCCCCGCTCCTGCCGCCGGCGCTGCGCCAGTACCTGCTGTGCCCGGGTCCCCCGTCCCTCCCTGGGTGCAAAACCCTTCACAATGCCAGGCTGGAGAGCTGCGGTGCCCCACGCTCCCTGCTTGCCCTCATAATTAGGCAAATGAACCCATCAGGGGAAACTTGAGGGTGGCTGGTACTTGGGAAGATGCCTGTTGGACCCCAGTGGGCACCAGAGCACCCTAAGTTGCCTAAAATAGTCCCTTCACTGCAAAATGCTCCTTTTCAGCCGTGCCAGAAGCTGGTGGGCAGTGGGAGCCGGTGCCCGTGGGCAGCCTGGTATTCTTCTGCTGGAAAGGGTAATGCCAGCATTCGCTGCCCATGCCAGAGGGGCAGAGG